ACCAAAACTGTTGTCCAGAGGGCTGAGGAAGGGTTGTTGAGGTGGTTCGGACATGTAGAGAATGGAGCGAAACAGAATGACTTCAAGAGTGTATCAGTCTGTAGTGGAAGGAAGGCGGGGTAGGGGTCGGCCTAGGAAAGGTTGGAGGGAGGGGGTAAAGGAGGTTTTGTGTGCGAGGGGCTTGGACTTCCAGCAGGCATGCGTGAGCGTGTTTGATAGGAGTGAATGGAGACAAATGGTTTTTAATACTTGACGTGCTGTTGGAGTGTAAGCAAAGTAACATTTATGAAGGGATTCAGGGAAACCGGCAGGCCGGACTTGAGTCCTGGAGATGGGAAGTACAGTGCCTGCACTCTGAAGGACGGGTGTTAATGTTGCAGTTTAAAAACTGTAGTGTAAAGCACCCTTCTGGCAAGACAGTGATGGAATGAATGATGGTGAAAGTTTTTCTTTTTCGGGCCACCCTGCCTTGGTGGGAATCGGCCAGTGTGATAATAAAAAAATAATAAGCAATATGTTACGGGAAAGTGGGTGCGGGAGGGAAGAAGAGCAATTGGTGGAATGATGATGTAAAGAGAGTAGTAAAAGAGAAAAGGTTAGCATATTGAGAGGTTTTTACAAAGTAGAAGTGATGCAAGGAAGGAGTATATGGAGAGGAAAAGAGAGATTAGAAGAGTGGTGAAGCAATGTAAACAGAGCAAATGAGAGAGTGGGTGAGATGTTATCAACAAATTTTGTTGAAAATAAGAAAAAGTTTCAGAGTGAGATTAAATATTTTGAGGAAGCCAAGGGAATATATGTATCTGATTGTTAAAAATAGGAGAGGAGAGTTATTAAATGTAGAGCTAGAAGTATCAGGAAGATGGAGGGAATATTCTGAGGAATTGTTAAATGTTGATGAAGACAGGGAAGCTGTGATTTCGTATATAGGGCAAAGAGGAATAACATCTTGTAGGAGGTGAGGAGTGAGTTGTGAGTGTGGGGAAAGTTCATGAGGCAGTGGGTAGAATGAAAGGGGTAAAGCAGCTGGGATTGATGGGATAAAGATAGAAATGTTAGAAGCAGGTGAGGATATAGTTTTGGAGTGGCTGGTGCTTTTATTTAATAAATGTATGGAAGAGAGTAATGTACCTAGGGATTGGCAGAGAGCATGCATAGTTCCTTTGTATAAGGGCAAAGGGGACAAAAGAGAATGCAAAAATTAAAAGATAATAAGTCTGTTGAGTACACCTGGTAAAGTGCATGGTAGAGTTATTATTGAAAGTATTAAGAGTAAGACAGAGTAGGATAGTAGATGAACAAGGAAACTTTAGGAAGGTAGAGGGTGTGTACACCAACTGTTTACAGTGAAACATATAGGTGAACAGCATTTAGATAAGAGTAATGAGGTTTTTGTGGCATTTATGGATTTGAAAAAGGCATTTGACAGGTGTGGCATGCAAAGAGTACGTAACCTTTATTCGGCGCATGTACACACCCTCATTTACAGGCTATCTCCCCCAACCAGCGAACCAGGTTGCTAAGAGTTGATGATGGGGCCCCGTCGTTCAACTAGTGACCAGGTTCTAGCCAATAAGAAGATGGTTTTGGCAATCGCAGAGGTTATGTGGGTACTGCTCTCCTGTCTGCCCTTGTCATTCCCATTCTAGAGCTGGTTGAAGCACAGTCTGCTATCTTGTGGCTTCTATTTCTGCTTTGCTTACCGTGGAGTGCACTATACTTATCACTGTACATAGTGTACATATTGCTGTTCTAAATTGGTGAAGGATAAAATAAGTCTAAACTTTTTCTACTGTGTTTATTTGCTCCCATTACACCCAGGGTAACAGGCCATTTGGAATCCTGGGTTGTAATATGGGTAGCCTGTCCGAGAGTTGAGCTGGACTTAGAGAAACGGTTGAGCTTAGGGTGAAGCTCGTAGCAGGAACATTGTGCAGCTTGCTGTCTGACATTGCTTTACAAATTTTGCGTGTCAGTTGTTACTAGCCTGTTCGGTGTGGAGAATTTTGCAGTCAGCTTTGCTTGTATGCGTATTCTGCAATCGTACTGTGCATAGCTAAGCGTGTTCTGCAAATTAACGTGTTACGTTGGGGTATTCTGCAATCGTACTGTGCATAGCGAATAACTTATGCCACCTAGACGAGTCAGACGTCTGGTGTCTGCATATACTTTGCATAACCTACCTAAATTGTCCCTACAGCGTTGTTGGCAAATTGCTCGTTCCATTGGCATTACATACAAACGCACTCTCACAGCTGCGCAACTGCGTTCACTGATTGCTGACAAACTTATAGAAGAAGAGATGGCACATCAGACTCCTCCCTCTACGGGAGCTAGGGCAAAAACTACTATGTTCTCGCAGGAGGAAGATGATACGCCTACGGAGCAAAATGGTCAGTATAGTGCAGCTGGGTTGTCTCAGGGTGAATCAGCGTCATTGGCACTTGAGCTGGCAAAAATCAATCTTGAGCAAACTAGGGAACAGAGAGCATTTGCAAGGGAAGAATTTGATAGGGAAAGAGAGAGGAGGCAGTTTTCGCATTCTGTAAATGATTTTAGTTTACAAAAAGCAGTACAGTTTGTTCCCTGCTTCCATCAGGCCGAACCAGAGCAATTTTTCGAAAGCTTCGAAAATCAGGCTCGAGCCTTGAGGTGGCCGGAACAGCATTGGGCATCGTTGGTTCATACAGCATTATCGGGTAAGGCTACTTTTGTGTCCAAATTAGATCTCCTTAAAGGCTACTATCAGGTACCTTTGACAGATAAGGCGAAGAAAATCTCTGCCTTCGTAATTCCAGGAGGTCATTATCAATACACAGTTACCCCCTTCGGAATGAAAAATTCCCCCTCTTCATTCCAGAAACTTATCCATCAGGCTATTAAAGGACTTGAAGGCACGGCAGCGTACCTAGATGATATTGTTGTGGTGTCTGATACTTGGGATCAACACCTACTTAGACTTAAGGCTCTGTTTGAGACCTTTAAGAGTTCCCATTTAACAGTTAATTTATCTAAATCTTCCTTTGGCCAGGCCACTGTCACTTTTCTAGGCCATGAAGTAGGTAGTGGTAAAGTTGCACCTAAACTTGCTAAAGTTCTTTCTATTAAAGATTATCCAGTTCCTCATGATAGGAAATCTCTTCAACGTTTCCTAGGCATGATATGATTTTACAGAAGATTCTGTAAGAATTTCTCAGATATTGTAGCCCCTCTTACCAGTCAAAAAGTTCCCTTTAATTGGACCTCAGACTGTAACACTGCTTTTAATAAAGCAAAAAGATTATTGTGTACTACACCCATTCTCTTGTCTCCAGACTTCTCCAAACCTTTTTCATTACAGGTTGATGCTTGTGAGTCTGGGGTTGGGGCAGTACTATTACAAATCGGGAACAAGGAGTTGCAGCCTGTAGCATACTTTTCAGCCAAGTTCCAGCCACATCAGAGGGCTTATTCTACCACTGAAAAAGAAGCCCTCGCGCTGGTACTGGCTTTGGAGCATTTCGATGTTTATGTGGGCCAGACATCGCAGGTGGTCACAGTCTACAGTGATCACAATCCTCTAGTATATCTCCAAGCCATGAAGAACCACAACACAAGGCTTATGCGCTGGACGCTAAGGCTGCAGCCATATAATATTTCAATTAAATATATTGCCGGCAAAGAAAATATGTTATTAGACTCTTTATCTAGAGTCTAAAATTTTAATTTATTTAGGTTAGGATGTTATTTGTGGTAACCCCTTTTCATGCTCTTTTTTTTTATCCCCTGGTGTGGGTTTTTTTTTTTTAGTGAGGGGATGCGGGCTACCGTCCGCCTGTATCTTGGACCTATGCTAGCCTGTCTGACTGCTGTCTCACTCTAAGTTTAGGGTTTGGCTTTTGGTCACGAGAAAAGCTGAGCTCTATCTATGAGTTGGATGGTGGAGAGGAAAGGCGGTCCCATTATTTTGTGCCATGGCGGCACGGTTACCACTGGGAGGTGGCAGCCTAATCCTGAGCCTTCTCGGGGTGGGGGTGTGGCATGCAAAGAGTACGTAACCTTTATTCGGCGCATGTACACACCCTCATTTACAGGCTATCTCCCCCAACCAGCAAACCAGGTTGCTAAGAGTTGATGATGGGGCCCCGTCGTTCAACTAGTGACCAGGTTCTAGCCAATAAGAAGATGGTTTTGGCAATCGCCGAGGTTATGTGGGTACCGCTCTCCTGTCTGCCCTTGTCATTCCCATTCTAGAGCTGGTTGAAGCACGGTCTGCTATCTTGTGGCTTCTATTTCTGCTTTGCTTACCGTGGAGTGCACTATACTTATCACTGTACATAGTGTACATATTGCTGTTCTAAATTGGTGAAGGATAAAATAAGTCTTAAACTTTTTCTACTGTGTTCATTTGCTCCCATTACACCCGGGGTAACAGGCCATTTGGAATCCTGGGTTGTAATAACAGGGTGGATAGGGAGGTAATGTGAGTGTTAGACAGGAGCAAATCGAGACAAGTGGTTTTTAGGACTTGACGTGCTGTTGGAGTGTGAGCAGCATAATATTTATGAAGGGATTCATGGAAACCAGCAGCCCAGACTTGAGGAGTACAGTGTCTGCACTCTGAATGAGGGGTGTTAATGCTGCAGTTTTATAACTGTAGTCTAAGCGCACCTCTGGCAAGACTGATGGAGTGAATGACGGTGAAAGCTTTTCTTTTTTGGGCCACCCTACCTTGATGGGAAATGGCCGATGTGTAAAAAAAAAAAATTACTAATTTTGTATTTCAGAGACCACATTTAACATATAACTTATATACCACACTTTCAATGAAATCTTTTTGTGGATGAGCACAACTATTCACATACTGCTCCTCAATAAAATTGTCAGATAGTCAAAACTGGCAAATAAACAAGCTCGCAAATTTGTAGGAACGACTGTACACTGCATTTATAATTTTAATCAAATACAGTAAGCACTTTTAGTGTGAGATGGTATTTGTTCGTGTATCAAACGGAACATACCTCAAAGGTTTTACTGCGAGGCTTCCGAGGGTTGAGTTCCACCTCAATTTCAGGGAACTCAGCTCGAATACCGTCGGTCACCTGAACGGCATTCCGTTTGAAAACACTTCATGATTTGCTGAAAGAAAAATACCTAAAAGTATTCTTTAAGTTCTTTCAGCACTCAACAGTGTAAATTTAACTAGCTTGATTCCAATTTGTGAAGAAAAATATGATTTAGGTAACAAACCACTAACTAGTAAGTATGATACTGTAATACTGAGGTAAGGGATTTTTAATTAACCAAGTTTAAAGAAAATATACTCACCAATGCTCAACTGAGACCTTTTTTGGTTTACGACCTCGCCGGCCCTTTGCAGGTGCTGCTGGTGCCTCAGGCTCTTCTGTGCATATCAAAAGGAAACAATTATATTATGAAAGCTTTAAATCTCCACACATACTTAAAAGTGTCATGTAGTATATATTCAATACTTATTGAGGTTTTGCAATCACAGGACTATGCCTGTCAGCCACAATCTTGTTTGTATTGAGAAGTACAAGTGATAAACATGAACAATCCCATGTAATAAATCATGCTCTCTTAAATTTTAAGCATTTTTTTTTTTTTTTAGTCCAAAGTTAATTTTGTTGAGATACGTAAAGAACCCTCAGTTAGGTATATATATAAAAAAAAATGCGAACTTGTTGCTTGCTGGCATGTTCTAGACTTCATGCTTCATGAATTATATTATAGATGATAAATATATCTTGTAATGCTAAGATATAAAATTCTTGATGCACACCAGTGCTGTTTCAAACTTGGTAGAAAACATGTCAGAGGCAAGTATCTTGGGGCCATACCACTAAGCCATGTTAGACTCAGCTAAATGCATATTTAGGCCTTTAATTTTATAGTAACAAATGTATCTTTATAGGTAGTAGGTTGGTAGACAGCAACCACCCTGGGAGGTACTACTGTCCTGCCAAGTGAGTGTAAAACGAAAGCCTGTAATTGTTTTACATGATGGTAGTATTGCTGGTGTCCACTTTTCTGTCTCAAACATGCAAGGTTTCAGGTATGTCTTGCTACTTCTACTTATACTTAGGTCACACTACACATACATGTACAAGCATATATGGTTTAGAAAGACACGTAAGCAAACACTATGACATATTTATTAGAAAACGTTTCGGTCCTGGGACCTTGATCACTTCTAACATACAGAGGTAGAAAGACATTATATATATAGGCGGAGAGTGAGGTGTGACGCACGTGACCTGAGGAATGTCATAAGAACATAAGAATGGAGGAACACTCTAGAAGGCCTACTGGCCCATGCGAGGCAGGTCCTTATCAAAACAACCTAATATGTCATAGTGTTTGCTTACGTGTCTTTCTAAACCAACTTGTCGGTATTTATTACCAAGGTTTATACCACAAGCATATATACACACCCATCTGGGTTTTCTTCTATTTTCTTACTAGTTCTTGCTCTTGTTTATTTCCTCTTACCTCCATGGGAAAGTGGAGCAGAATTCTTCCTCCGTAAACCATGCGTGTTGTAAGAGGCGACAAAAATGCCAGGAGCAAGGGGCTAGTAACCCCTTCTCCTGTATATATTACTAAATTTAAAAGGAGAAACTTTCGTTTTTCCTTTTGAGCCACCCCGCCTTGGTGGGATACGGCCGGTGTGTTGAAAGAAAGACGAAATGTATCTTTTTGTCAGTAACAGATTCATGGTGTTCTTTATCATGCATTATAATACAAAAATGCTTAAAAATTGTTACAGCTTTAAGAATTTTTTTTATAATTTTTCATCAGATATTATTATGTACATATACACCTACCATCCGACTTACGACCTGCTCGACTTACGACCACTCGACTTACGACCGTGTTTTTTATGCCAAATTTCTGGGAAATAAACAACTATTTGTGTTGTACACAGTGTTTATCCTAAACCTTACAGTATAAAATACAGTACTAACAACATAAACAGTAAAGTAAAACATGAAATACCAAAATAAAACAATAAAATAAAGTCATTACAAAAATGTTTTGTTGATATTCAGTAGCAAAGGTCGACTTATGACCATTTCGACTTACGACAGGTTTCTCGGAACCGAACTTGGTCGTAAGTCGGATGGTAGGTGTATATATATCTTAATTTATACAATATTGGAGTTCAGATAGATGGTGTACAGATAACATGCTGTATGTGCCACCCAACTATTCTCCCTTATTGCAAAAAGAAATTCTTTGTCTTTTAAAATCCTTGAGAAAACGTTGCAATGCCAGATTTGCCTCATTTTGCTAATTACCCAATACAAAATCACAAGAAGTGACCACCATGAAGGTTTCGATATACAGGCAAAATCTCTAGCAGTATGTGAATATAGCTGTCTAGGCAGGTTAATATCCAATGTTACAGAAAAGACAGCAAATATTAACGTGTGCCATTACATGCAAAACCTCAATAGCATAGAAACCTGGCTAACCCAATCAGAAAATCCTCACTTAGCTTACAGAGTAATCATACTTCCCACTTAAGCTTTTCCAGGTACCTATGTGGTGAATTATCATAAATGTTTATAAATCATTTCCAATAATAATAATAATAATAAAAAAAAAAACACTGTTTAAATCAGTTGTGAGCATAATGAATGTTCAAGCCCCTACCTCTAATACTTTTTTTTCATTTCTCAACACAGTGGCCATCTCCATCCGAGGCAGAGTGACCTCTAATATCCCAGGTCACAGATCTACTTAAACATTAAATTTTTTTTTTTTTATTTAGGTTAAATACTCCTGCATACTTGCATGTGAATGCATAAGTATATCTAATGCTATGCTTGATGGCCAAACAAGCACTGAGGCCCTCTCAGCTGAAGACCAGTTTCATTTTTGCATGAAAGCAAGGTCCAGCCTCACTGGCTAAGTCATTGCAAAATTTGTCAAACTTGAACACAATGCTGTCTATAAGTCCCAGTTCAACCAGTATCTCTATGGTTAATATTGTCTATCGCTAGTTTATTCCTGGCTGTTGTCTATAGCCCTTTTCTTATGGCATTTATTGTGGTTTTCTCCCATTTATGTCTGGATCAAAGTTAGAAATGATAATCCTAAAAATCATTACACTGATATTATTTAGGCATGGCTCCCAAACTATGAAGTTTCCATGCAAATGCAAATTAAAATGTCAGATATCCTGTACCCAATGATAAACAGTGGTGGTTGTCACTAGGAATTCCTTACAGTATTGACATTATTCCATCTAATAACATGAACTAGAGCTTTTAAGCACAAATAACGTATTAGCAATCCATAAGAAATTTACAGTACTAGACTATGCTTTATTGCTTATTAAATGCACAATCTCCTCAATAAATTTTAGTGCAATCTACTGTCTAATACTCAATAGATTGGAGAGTGCCTAGCATTTTCCAAATGTCAATAGCAAACATGATATATTATTTTTGGCCATAACTATCTTGTTACATTATTATTATAATAAAAAAGAAGTGCTAAGCCACAAGGGCTATACAGCGCTGCAGGGCAGGAAGGAAGCAAGGGTATCACGTGGCAAAAGGGAGATGGATGAGTAACAGGTTATGGAGAACAGCGGGGCAGTGGATGGTGAAAGGGTAGAGGGCAGCAAGAGATTGAGGTAGTAAGGGCTGAGGGAAGTGCAAAAGGTATCATCATCAGAGTTTGTGGAGTAAATCAGTCGTTGTCAAGAAGTCAATGAGAAGTCAGGATTAAAGGAGGGTCCATCAGCAAGAAGGGAAGGTAAAGAGAGAGTAGCAGAGCGGAGACGACGTTGGAGGTAAATTCTGGTGTTTGTTGATAGAGAGGGCAGTCTAACAGAATGTGGCTAATCGATACTGGAACTTGACACTGCTCACAGAGAGGAACAGGGTGCCTCTCCATGAGATACCCATGAGTAAGACGAGTGTGGCCAATGCGAAGGACGGAGAGAGTAGTCTCCCAACCTCGGCACTGATGACAAGAAGACGGCCAGTAACCTATGCTCGGTTTAATAGAATGAAGTTTGTTACCGAGCAGAGTTGACCAACGTTGTTGCCAACAGGTGTGAAGGTGGGTAGCTATTACAGCAAAAGTCCAGAAATGGAACACCTCTATATGAAATTGGTAGGTCATGTACTGCTGACCGCGCAGCAGTGTCTGCTTGTTCACTGCCCTGTACGTCAACATGACCAGGGACCCAACAAAAAACAATATCTTTATGCTTGGCAGAGATACAGCGTAGCTTGTTACAGCTGCTAGGCTTATGCAACAGGAATTTTAAATGTCCTAATTTGAACAGGGAATAAACCAGCATCTTGCTGAGAAATCTTCGAAGGTATATTACAGAACTAAAATTCCTATGCACACTAATCATGAAGATTGTGCATATATTTTTGCAACATTGTTTTATAAAAATTAATTCAACAACATTCATTTTGACATGATATCCAACTACTTCATGGTCTGTCCTATGATAACAGGTTAATCTTACAAATTCATATTCAATATACACTTACTCTCCTGTGTTGTAGCTCATAATCTAATAATTCCCATTTCGACCGAGCTACATGAGCAATGAACCCCAGAATCATTACCATCTAACATATTTTGAGCTATCACAGAAGTGGACATTAGAACTGGATACACAAATATAGCATTCATCCATGGAGGTATTACTAAATTGTCATAAGAGTAAAACAAAGCCAGTTTAAAGCAGGATTTCTATTGTCTCAGGAACATCAGTATGAAAGGTACACACATTTCTTCTTCCCCCCCCCCCCATCCCCTAGTTCGTGATCCCTCAAATTTCATTAAATTATGAGGATTTCTTTATTAGAGGCTGACATAGTCTGAGATATCTTAACATACATTGCTGTCAGATTTTAAGTATGATCAGTATTGGTAAGTACATGCTTGGAATATAAAATGTCAAGTTTTTAACTCCACGAGTAAAATTTACCAGCTTACCACCCCCCATCCTTCTAGTTAACCAAACCAGTTCCAAATTTGTTAGGCTTACGAAGGGAAAAATGTAGGTATATTATTTACTAGATTGGCTCAATATTTATACATGGTATACCATGCTACAACTTATCCTCACATACCAACTTCCATTCCAGTCAAAGGTAGTTCTGGAAGCTAAAAATCATACATTCTCTACCTAATACATGAGCATTCAAGTTTGAACATCCCTGTAAAAAAATACACTGAATTTATTCGCAGTAGCAATTACAGTATTGTAAAAAATATTAATGTCCTTTGAGGAAAATGGGTTTTATTACTCAGATATTAGTTAAACTGGACAATACAAGTGCAAAATCGTCAAATGGCTCCGTAAATCTCATGTGCTGGGATTTTTGCCTGATATTACTCAAT